CGCTCTCGGAATGATTAAGACTTTCTAATAAATTACGGTTCATGTTGCATCCTTTGATTTTACAAGATTGACATTAATAATAACTGAAATTGATTCCAGTATGCTGTGCTTCAAAGAGAATTGGTCTTTTAATAAACCAGTCATAAACCTTGTATTCCTTTTTTACTGTTATATTGTCATATAATTAAGATGACAAAAAAAGGACACAAGTTCATTATTAACATGATTTTCTTCAAGACATATTACTTAGCACTGTAACCCGCAGCGGGTTGTATATTGACCATTAACAGACGTCAGACACTTGGCAGAAAGAGTAGCAATATCCTGTCTGTATATAGAAAATATTTAATATCGGATGACAAACTTTTAATATATTGAGTGATATATGAGAAATATAGCAGTTTTAAATGATTTTCTCAATATCTTTTCTGGTTTATTACACGTCTTTATGATAAAGTCTATTACGCTGGCTGTAATCTATTTGTTTGCCCCAAAAGTCTGCATACAAATTCACAAATTCCACATGTCTGAAATATTAATATAATCGGTTCGGCCCTGTTAGTATACAAGCGATGTATGCTGGCGGTACATAAAAGGGATGTAAGTGCCTTGAATATTAACAATAAGGCATTTCTTACCGATGATAAAATTTCCTTTTTGCCGACCCCACACAACCCTATTACACAAGGGGTTATGGAACTTAGTGACATGTGCAAGTTTTATTGTAAGAAAATGCAATTTAAAAGAAAAATACAAGTCGAGTGTAAAATTGAGACCAGAATATAATTCCAACCCGTCACAGGTGGTTAACCCCTGTGTCATCAAAGTCACGAGAATTGTTCTGAAATATTACTAAAAAAAATGGTGAACAAAGTGACTTTTCTGGTATAAAGTTTGTCATCCATCTTGTCCTTTTTCCGGGGTCACGGCTACGTACCAAGCTTCGCATGCCCTGGTTATATTAATCAGTTGATGTTCAGTTGTAAAATGACAGAAGGACAGGAACTCTGGTATTGTTACAAGTTTTTATATGACTGTCCAGATCTTGTTTAAGGGGTTGTATAGACCTCTACTGATGTCTATCTCTGGAACAAGATCACACGATAGTACAGCACAGCTCAGCAGCACCTATAACATCAGTAATGGTCAGTCACCTTAGTAATGGCTTTTGTATTGGAAGGTCAACTTTATCTTACCTAAAGTTGACTAATTAGTGTTTAGTGTTGCTAATTTCAAGCTGCTCCGATCTTTAAAGAGAAAAAGAAGAAAAACAAAAAACACTTTATAATCTTTTCAATCCACGGTCACAGAAATATCAGATTTCAGTCTCTGAAGAAACACAACAGAGTAATCCAGCGAGGATAGGCATTAAAAATTGTAGGTTCATTTAATCAATTAGATATTATGAATATGCACTAGATGGCACGGTATATTTCATAAAACAGAACACTGTTATCGTCATATTATCTGTTAGCAGTGTCATTGGCTTGATCGGACCGAGATGTATTTAAAAGCTATCATATCGTAAATTCACGGCGTTATGTTCCAGACAGAAAAAAAACAATCTTTTGTAGAGGGTATTCCACCAATATTGTTCCTATGAGTCATGCTTCGTCTAAACACATTTCTGTTTGCAAATAAATGACGTTTTTTAATCTTCGCTACACATCTATTTTTTGTAAACCCTTCTGAGCGCAGTAGAAACTCCAAAATATTCAATATTTTAAACTCATCGTGATAGGAGATATTAAAAAACAAAAAAAAACATGTTTTACTTGCTAGGTAGTAAATAAATAGGCACAGGTTTTAGGCCAAGACCTTTCTAATGTTTATTAGATCTTACACATAAATATATCATCTAATTGATGAATTCATACCTTTCAAAAAAAGTTTTTTGTTGACTTGTGAAAAATTTATTACTTTAATTTTGGTACGTTTAGCATGAAATTTTAGTATAATCATAACAGATCAATGTTTTAGAATTTTAATTGAAAAGTGCTTGTCCTGAAATTAATTTCTTATCAAACTCATGTCATAAGAATGTTACATTGTTGCGCCATAGGTTACGTATGCGATATCGCTTTAATAGCTGCTATTTATGAAAGTTTGACAGTTTTTTAGCGATACATTAACAGTAATGAGTTTAATATATATGTTGTTGTTCCAAAGTGCTGCCATATTTACCGATGTCAAATTACAGTATACTTTCTGTTAGTATTAACTTACATATTAAGATTATTCATTATTTAACTTTTATCTTAACGTAGATCTATTAATAATCAGAATGCGTTTCTCAATGTATAAAACAGTCATATTTAAACCTTTTTTTTTGTACTTTATTTAGTCTATTTAGACCATCTGACTGTAAAATTTGATATCTTATAATATTTAATTTGATTGATAAATTAACGAGCGAAATACATTAACAAAAATTCAAAGATTACCCCCTAGTAATTTGCAGTTAATGAATCAAGTTTATAGCTGTAAATAATTTTAGCAGTAAATAATTCTGTACAGGATCAAGTTCCACATCCTGGAGTGCTAGGAGAGTAACTTGTATATGTATACCCTAACAGCGGGTTATAGTTGGAGTCGGGGGAGATGTGAAGGCACCTTTGATTTGTAGCTTCTATTAGCTTACTGCTGTGCAAATTTGTCACTGCTAACCAGGAGAGTGTGCATACAAGGCTGGGGTTCCTCCTCACCCCTTCCATCAATGTTGTGTTCCCTCCCCGCTGTTTCTTGTTGGAAAATATGTTTTTGAGATATCTCGCCACCCACATGTTAAGTTTTCATATCCAAGGGGAAGAATTCTGCCTGAAATCTCTGACACAGGATAAAATCAAATCTCCCCATCCATAAACATCACTCTGTTTATATCTCTCTCGGCAGTAACACTACTGAGGAGTAATGTGGCCAGAAAAATGAAATATATATTTGTTTACTTTATAAAAAGGTGGTGAATACAGGTGTGGACTTAGAGCTGGGGTCTCCTTAAAATTTGTGGCAGAAGATTTTAGAACATAATTTTCTGTAGAAGAGAGCTGGAAACATAAGTGAAATCACATCAATTAAATAAAAGTAAAAATTTTCAGGGCAGTGCCCCTAATAAACTCCTGCTGGTATATCAGGAAATAACAAAATATGATACTGCATATCAAACAAGCCTGACAGAGTTATAGTAGCACTGCTGCCTGCCAGCTGCCGGCCTGCCAGTCAAAACCTACATCTTGGATAAAGGCCATATTTACATTACTCATACCTTTTATCCCACTTTTATATCACTTCGCCAAAATTATGATATGAAGAAAGCTGAATATCCTTTCCAATCCATCAGCAGGAATCAGAGAGAGAAAAAATCGTTTAGAAATGGTTTTTATTTTCGTAAAAATATCACTGAAAAAAAAGGTTGCTTTAAAAGTTGTGCCTAGGTAGTTTGGTTTGTCAACAAGTCTGACGGGTAAGATTTCAACTTCAGGTCGCTTGATAAAAAAGTTCCAAATTGGATTAAGGTTTTAAGACAGGTCTAATCAGAGTTTTTTGGTGGGAATGCCGTTCTCTAGTTTCCCTGCCAGTTGTAAACCATTCGTCATTGTTGTGTGTAATGGGTATATATATTTGAGCAATTCATAAAGAAAAATGATGGGAAGTGTCTGGCACATGTGGCAAGAATCAGCCATATTTTGGGTGTATTTTGTTTGAGGGTGTTTAAGTTCTAAAGGAACTGTGCCTACATCAGAGGGATGATAGCATCTGTAAGAGTATATTAATGTCAAACCATTTTGGACTGTGATGAAATGTTAATATCAGATGTTATACATCCAAACAAGTTATGCCTCCCCCTCGATACCTTCCCCCTCGAAATACATCAGATGTAGCTTTGAGCAGTCAGACAACCAAACCATCTACTTTCTTAGCTATGTTGGGTTTTATGTCAAATTTATTTGTCTGATGCAGATTTTTGTACTAGGTTGCATTTGATAAAGAATTTAACTCCCTGCACATATCACCTGCCATATTTGTCAGGATGCTTTTAGAAAATTCGTAGCAAAACCAAAAGTTAGACACAGTAATTGTCCTTTTTTGTTAATGCTGGTATCGTCGTTATTTTTGTTTTTTAATAGTTTTTAACATCGTTATTTTGTTTGTACACAAAAAGTCACCGTTGTCGAAATGTTGGTATGTTTATTTTATTACGCGGAATCCGAGAATAAGTTAATTATACCTCTTTTATTGCTGCTTCCAAAAAAGTTTTCTATTAAACAGATTAGTAGAAATAACAACAAAAATTTTAAATTTGAAAATTAACGGATTGTTATGGAGGGGTAGGGGAAGAGGGATCCTACCAAACAAGTGCTCAACACCGGGTTCAAATTTAAAATAGGGGAAAGAAGTTAGAAATAATTGGAAACAGCCAAGTTTCAATTATAACAAAATTTGAGTTATTAGAATTTTTATTATGTAAGAACATAGTGAGTGAACTCTAAATTAATCTCATCCTGCACATACCAGCATATTCTACATTGTGAATCAACATTATCCAACAGGACAAAGGCAAGTTCAATTTGTATTCATTTCAACTAACTAAATGAAATTGCAAAAAATCTCTTACCCTAATTTGTGTGCAGATGAACATTTTAAATTAAAAACAACAGACTGCGATCAGCTTTTGTAGTCGCTGTAATTTATATATCAGCCCAATGTGTATTTGCTGACTTTCCTTTTAGAGCACAAGAAGTCGCCTGGATATTGCATGTGCATTTTTTTTTTACCTGGAAAGAGAAAGAAAGACCAATAAATTTTGAAATAATTCTTATCATTTTAAAGATTGAAATGAGGGGGGATCTAAAGTGGGAAAGAAAATTTATATACAATGCATTGGATTTGGGGTAAACAATGAAAAAAAAAGTTAATGCATTTTATTTATGATCTTTTTTTTAGATAGATAAAAGATTTTTTTTCGTATGATTATTTCAAATTGGCCTTTCTGTGTCTTTCAGTGGTTGAGAGATCCCAGTTTGTTAGTGATGACCCCTTCTTCCGTCACAAGTGTCGCCTGTGTCATAAAGTCTTTGGCAGTGACAGTGCCCTTCAAATCCACATACGTTCTCATACAGGTAAGACGACTCGTCACTTCTAGTACAAGAACCTGTTTCTCAAGGTCCAGAATGGAAATGGCACTCGTAGACAGATTTGTTCTCTGTACTTTGTTAATTCAATATACCACTTGTACAAGATTCTGTTTCTCCAGATTCCTATTAGACATGAGATGTTATAGGTATTCTGTACATCTCCAATTTTGATACTTTAGCGTCCATAACATTGAGTTGATTTTTTAAGGTCTGGAATTGATTGGATTTCTCTTTAAGTTTCAACAAATATACACGTTATGTTTCAAAGGTCAAAAAGGAATTGATGGTGCTGAACTACTCTGGGATATATTATTCTTTCATCAGCTGTCAAATTAGTAAAGGCAGCCATTGTTTTAAAGTTGGTTGCTGTTTGCAGTAGAATCCCTTTACCCTTTTAATGAATTTGATATTTCTTCATACATTTAGGAATATTTGAATACTGCAACAAAGCATTTTAAAATTAAATCAATATTTCAATTTGTTCATGGATGTAATTAACTAAAAATAAAAGATGATTCTTCCCCGGTCACATCTATATGTACACAATAGACCTCTGGTCATCTGTTGTAAGGTGTAGCATTTTTCTAACCAGAAAGAATTCCTCTGATAAATCTTTAATGATTTTGAAATGGGTTTGTCACTTCTGTTTCTCTGTTTGGCACTGCCTGTGCAGAACCTGGTCAGCTCATTGTTTGTAGGTGTTGTTTCTTTCTGAGTGTAAAACGGAGATCTCCCACCAAATACAGCATACTTATCTAACCAACAACCCGGTGAAACAAACAATTTTTGTCATAATATTTAACAATCTAATATGTAGCATAGAATTCCTTTTACTTTCCTGTTCCGTTTTTTCCATTTTTCTTCAGGAAAAAAGCCTGAAGTGGCTGAATGTAATTAGCTGTTCATTTACAATTCCACTGGTATGTCGTCTTGTCATTGTGGCATGTCTAGCGAGGGTGTGAACCCCCGCTGCGGACATTAAAAAATGGCCCTACTCATGCAGAATGTGTACAATACCATTTAAGTACATGTGTAGAATTTATTTTTGCCTAGTATTTACTCATTCCCAGCATTCACGGTGCACCAGACTCCCTTATCTGCAATTAAGTACAGTGTGTAGCATAATTTAGAATTCAGATCTATGAAGAAGAAGAGGAAAGAATAATTGTCACTCTTCATACAAATGAGGTGAAAAAAGCAGGTGCTAATTTGATTATTGCGAAATTTATGGCGAAAAAGAATATTTCGTTATATTAATTGCAGAAAGGACTGTTTTAGAAATTAGTGAATATTCCACGGCAGAGCTCCTTATGATGCCAACTCATTAACACAGCCCGTGCAATAAATTGTCCAAAAATTAGATTATTTGCGATTAGGGATGTTGATGATGTATTTCTTCATGATGGTGAAATCAATTTACAAAAATGAACTGTAGTCGGTTAGAATTATGTCAATTCTCGATGGCACTAATGTCTTGAAGCAGTTGGTAAGATGCTGGTGTTACCATGCCAACAATGTTAATTGTCTTCATTTATTAAAATAGATGAATTCCTCAAATAAAACTGACATTTCGCCATTGTGAATTGAGTGGCAAATTTTGATAAATCACTTGACTATATATGTTAGTTTTGAAAAAGAATGAAGAAAAATGACGGATTGTCCTTAGTCCTCCAATACTTATACAAGTGAAGGTAATAGGCTAGGCAATACTATAACATACAATACTTTATTACAATCAGACTTCATAGATCTACATAGTGTTGTTATGGTATCCTCAAATTAGTTAAAACCCCAGCGCACAGTTAATGCATTACATGTTCTTTGACAAATACGACTGCCAGGCAAGATGATGATAAGTACATTTATATCAGCCGTTCCTGTTGCGAACTCTCCCGTAATTTTGTTATGCCAGTAAGAACGGTTAATAACATTTTCCAATTCTGCATTATTTGAAATATAGCTCTGTCATTTCATCGGAACATCAAATCGGATGATCAAGAATACATTGCTGCATAGTGCCTCAGCATATCAGTGAGATGTATTTATTTCCTTAAAAATATTTTTTGGAAAAGAAAAAAAAATCATAGTTTGAAACACAGGTTAAAATTGAAAGAGAAACCAGGATGGGATATATTAATATTGATTATAGATGTGTGTAGTTTTGAAACCTGCTCAGTCTCTGAGAATTATTGAACTGGATGCTTTGTAATGAATCTAAATTTTATAAAATAGGATTCTGTTACTGATTTGTAAGCAATTTGAATATAAATACTGACATGGGTTAGGAAATGGGTTTATAACATGTGGAATTATCATTTTGTCATTTGATAGCCTGGGTCAGGTTGTATAATTAATGGGCAGGCTGAGTTGTATGATAAATTACAGGAAATCCTGCCGTTTGAAGAAATTTCTCAAATGGTCATTAATGGCCAGTTTGAGTGGCCAATATCGCTTTACAATGTAGATTTTATTAAATTTCTTTCACTCATGAAACTATCTAATTATCAATAGATAAGGCAGAGGTCAGTTCCACTTTGGTCTGAGCTGGACAGAGTCGGACATCACAAGACTTGGCCGTCACAGTTGACTCAAGTGGTGAAAAGATGGAAAACCACCCAAATAGACAGATGTCTTGTGGAGGGTTTGATGAGCAGGGGTGAAATTAAAAGTGGGTTCTAGGTGATAAAATCATTTTTATGTTGAGGGAGGTATAAGGGGATTAGGAGCTGTATGTATATGAATAGCGTCAGGTTGGATTTTATGTAACCGAAGTTGTTGTAGGAGATGGCATAGCACTGTACTGACAGGGTCCCACCCAACGATGATAAAGGCCGATTTCTAAGGGTCACACACATTTTGCAGATGTTCCAAAATTTCATTTTAAACATTTTGCAATAACACTCAAGAAAATTTACATTAGAATATATAATTTTTTCTTGGGGAGAGAAAAGGTTGAGAGCTAGCCGACTAACTAAATGATATTTCCACAAGGAAAAGTGGAAAGTATCTCTGAGAATTAATTGAACCCAACAGTATGATGCTGAAGATAAGTGCTATACTTTTCTGTAATCCATTTCTGGGACGTTGTCCTCAGTGAAGACAATGGTCTGGGCGCGATCCGTGTGGGAATGTTGAGACGTCGCTCTATGTATATATGGATTATAATGTGTTGACAGAGAAGCACAATACTCAGGTTTGCATAATGATATCTTTGTACTAAAGGATACTAAACACTGTGAATTGTCCCCATAGACACATTTCTCAGATCCGTTCTCCGTGCAGGTGGGGAAGACTTAGCAAGGTGACATATGTTGGTACCCACGGAACATTCGTTAAGCAAGGTATTAGCATCTTCTTTACCTGTATTTTATCCATAACAATGGCGCCACTCAGTGACAAGTAATAGAATTAAAGCCTCATTCAACGCCACAGGTGAGTTGGCTGAGAAAAAAGGCACTGAAGAAAAAATATGGGAATTTTATTTTTTAAATATTTTAATCTCACAAATTATTTTTTGAATATTTTCATAGTGTTTTAACATTGATATAACTTCAGTGGGAATTATGATTTAATAATTTATCATAAAAGGAAAAGAGAATTAATTTGAATGTAGAGGTTTTGTATTTCAACTTGTGTGGTCTGTAAATAGTCATGTAACTTTAAAAAATAAATAAAAGTGCAGATTTGAAAATAATTGTGATGAAATTTTATTGTGATTATTTAAAAAAAAAAGATATTTAGATAATTAATATTCTATGTAGAGCATCAAGTATGTAAAACAATGGAAAACCTGAATATTACAGTTACATGACCAGTCCGGAAGTATGAAAACCTGACTAACACGTACAGCTTTCTGATCAGTCCTGAAGTGGGACATGTTTGTTTGCAGATCAAAATATAAAAATATTTAACCACACCTTGACACATTAACGTTGTCCACATCATTTAAAGGTGACCTTGTGTGATATTTGTTCCTCCCCCACCCTCCGGCCATTGAGTGGGCAGTGGTCAGTTTTAAATGATAACACACCTGTTGCTGTACTCTACAAAGGATATTTCATATTCCGGAACGTGATTTCACAAAGACGGGTCAGAAACACTAAACCACTTCAGGGCAAAAATTATTTATAAAAGTGGACAGGATTTTGGAGTAAAGAATGAATTAAAGAGATCAAAATGAAAAGCCTGCCTTTCACATTAAATTGGTGAATATAAATTGAGATGCTATTATCATGTCTGGAATTCTATAGGGGTCAAGCCATTGTATAATATGAAACGGTCAGATGATTTTAGCTAGGTACTAATTATTTCTGGATGTTATGTCCAGTCATCCTGAGAAATGAGATGTCAGCCCCATGATACCTGACCACTCTAGGGGCCCGTGTAGGTGTTATTATCAAACATTCACTGGACAGGCCACATTTTTGACCATTGACCACACAAACAGCTGACACTTAAATAGAAATTTATTTCCATAGTAATCTGGGGTTTGTCATAGTTTTGTATATAGATTTGACAAATATTTGCTGGGTGGACATTAATGGTGGCAGTCTATTGTACCCACAAATCCCTGTACACTCAGTGCCCCCTCCTCTCAATATCTATACTCTACACCTATATCTGTATATGATTGTTAATCTCACAATATGTAGAACATCGACACCCCCTCACAAAGTATGTAGTACATATAAACCCCCTCACAAAGTATGTAGTACATCTACACCCCATCACAAAGTATGCAGTGCATCTACACCCCCTCACAAAGTATGTAGTACATCTACACCCCCTCACAAAGTATGTAGTACATATAAACCCCCTCACAAAGTATGTAGTACATCTACACCACCTCACAAAGTATGTAGTACATCTACACCACATCACAAAGTATGCAGTGCATCTACACCCCCTCACAAAGTATGTAGTACGTCTACACCCCCTCACAAAGTATGTAGTACATCTACACCCCCTCACAAAGTATGCAGTGC